ATGACAACAACCAAGAAATATAAAACTATAAAACGCCAAGGCAGCCTTATTTTCACCATAGAAAAACTAGATCGATACCCAACTCCATTTAACATAAGATTCGATTATTTTCTAGCGAATAGTGAGCTTCTCGGGATATCCCGAGTACGAAAGATGAGAATTCCACTGCTGGTATTACTTATTAATCCTAAAACCATATAGAAGGAATTAATCACAACCTTAGATCATAGAAATTAAATCATTAAATAGAGCTTTCTTTTTTAACCCATACCTATTAGAGCAAACAATTTAAATCTAGATGAATTAAGAAATCTAACATACTCCGCTTATTTCCGTGCTTGTAGAGAATAATATTTAAAACTTTATAAATAATTCCTGCTATAACAAATTTAAATTAAAATGAAAAATTTTTGATTCAATTCGTATCTCCATCTGAAGCATTTAAGCGAATCACGTTAATAAAACTGGCGCCCGAGAAATTTTTCTGAACATACGTAAGTAATGTTTTATTCGGTGACAAGAACATTGTTTTATTTTTATTAAAAATGTACTACAGGTCAAAAATATAAGTTGGTTTAATAAACAAACGTAGAATAATGGAGAAATTTTAAAATTCAAAGCTAAATATGTCACTTTTAATATATACATTTATTTCAATAATCATTCTTTTGCTTTATGTTTTACATTATTAAAAAAATAGTGAAAATCATAAATCAAACTTTCTAAACAAATATTCAATAACATACCTCTATATTGTTTTGAAATCTAGCCTCGGGTCCGTGAAACGATTTACTGCTACTCCCAGTACCATAACCGGAACTATTACTGCTCCTAGGTGGCGAAAAACTCCTTTCGTATATCCTCCTATGGTTCCCGGAAACGGCTTGTTGCATTTGCGGAGCTCTTCTACCTTTATTTTCTTCATTGGTATTCGTGTTGTCGTAGTCACCTTCATAATGAGCCTCGTTGTATTTGCAGTTCTGCAAGGTACACCCTTTTCGCGGCGTGCCATCAGGTAAGGGCGGTATCACAGTTAGAGTAACGGTAATGGACGTTTTGAGAAGATCCACCTGGTTGAAACGAAAACAATTAGAAATTTTAGAAAATTCAAACCCACTGGTTGTGTTGATGTGAATTTTATTTTATATTTGAAATTTAGTTGATCGATTTTCCAAATACTAGATATTTAATAGCTATTTGTGTATTAAGAGCGGAAAGTGCTACTTTGCCGCTTAAGATAAAAAGTTGCCGCGCGACGCGCAGCAGAGTGCGGCATTTAATCATAAGCAGCAAATAGCCTTCCGCTCGAATTACACATAAGATTTTTTCTACGATCACACGATATTAAAAGTATATAGTTTTATTTTGCCCAATTTTGACAGACACGACTAACTTGACTAGCAAACGAAAAGTATGTTGTGTATATTGTGTTGCCTGTTTACTCTAGGATTAATTTTATGAAACGCATAAAAAATATTTCTTAGTAAGTACATCTTAAAAATAACTTACAAGATCATCGGTTAGAATACTCAAATCGCAAAGTAATGGCTCATACACTGTTTTAAGTTTTATTTAATTTTAAAAACAAAAAATCAAATTTAAAAAAAATAATAACTATAGTCTATTTTTATGTATGAGAGAGTAATAAAACAGCATTTCTAATGCAAAACTTAGTACGGTCATTTTAAATATTTTTACAGAATAATCTAAATATTTCCTAAAATTATAATAAATGTACCTGATCTATTACAAGTTTTGGGTCTTTTATTGGTCCTTTATAAACATAAGCTGTACAGAACAATAGAAAAAGATTTGGACAGGCCAAAAGCCCTGTGTATTAAAGATTACATAGCCATATCTTAAGATTATTTTCAATAAGTACCTATTTGCCAATTTTGTTTTATTTTAATTCCAAGAATTTCTTACAGTAATCGAATTATAAGTAGATAAATACCTTCCCAACAAATTTCACCGAAAATGCGATTATAGGTTTTCCATTTAGTAAGGAGGTCCAAGTTATGTATTCTTGACAGTTTACTAAATGTTGTTTAGTTGCAACTTGCAAGGTGCAGTGTGAATTCTAGTGTGATCATGGAAAATTTGGAAGGGCCGCGTAAATGACAAAAAAATCGGTCCTTTAACAGTTAATGAAAAAACATTAATATTTAATTGTTTTAAATCATTTACAGACAAACATTTATGTAAAAGTGTTGATGACACAGTGGAATTAGTTAGTAGTACGCTTGGTATTGGGAAATCTACAATTTACAGAGTTGTTAAAGAGACATGTGGCGAGTTTCAAACAGCACGTAAAGCTCCAGGAAAACCAAAATTTCAATTAGAAAATATTTTGAAAGAAAGACTTCGAAGGAAAGTGCATGCGTTCTTCTTTAGAAAAGAATTTCCGACTGTAGACAAAGTTCTTGCCACGGTTCGAGATGATAAGGATTACCCTGAAATGAGCCGAAGCACACTATGGAAACTTTTAAAAGAAATAGGTTTTCTATAGAAAAAGCATTCCAGAAAGTCTATTTTAATAGAAAGAAGCGATATTGTAGTATGGAGAAGAAATTAACTAAGGACTATAAAAGAAATGAGAAACCAAAGAAGAAATATATTTTATTTAGATGAAACATGGATCAACGAGGGACATAAACCAAATAAATTTTGGCAAGATGAAACTGTTACAAGTCGAAGACAGGCTTTTTTAAATAATTTATCTACTGGTTTAAATCCACCATCAGGAAAGGGGCGCAGACTAATAATAGTACACATCGGTAGTTCAAACGGTTTTGTTAAAGGTGGTTTATTGACTTTTGAATCTACTCGTACCGGTGACTACCATGAGGACATGAATGCTGATGTCTTTAAAGAGTGGTTCGAACAAATTATAGATCTTCTTCCTCAGAACTGTATAATAGTAATGGATAATGGATAATGCAAGTTATCACTCGAGACTTATAGAAAAAATGCCCACAACCAATTGGTTAAAAAAAGATTTACAGAATTGGCTAAATTCAAAGAATATTAAGTTCCATCCCGGTTCTGTGAGAAAAGAACTGTATCATGTGTGTTCCCTTCATAAAGAGAAATTCAAAAAATATGAAATTGATGAAATTGCAAAAAATCGTGGGATGACGGTGGTTAGATCACCACCATATCATTGCGAAGTAAACCCGATTGAACTGATATAGGCACAGATAAAGGGAGAAGTTTCAAGAAAAAATAATTCTTTTAAAATGAGTAATGTTAAACAGTTGTTTTTGGAGGCTGTAAATAATGTGAAGCCTGAAAACTGGGAAAAGGCAGTAAATCATACGATTAAAGAAGAAGAGAAAATGTGGAAGTTGGACAATATTACTGATGAAATGATCGAGCCACTCATTGTAAATATTGGTTGCGACAGTTCATCTTCTGATTTCGATTCTGATTTGAATTTGTAGGTAAGAAGTAGTTTTTATATTAAAATTATTATTTATGAACGTAACGTTGTTTAAAAGTCAAAGTTTAAACCCTTATACCTACATAACTCGTTTGACACAATGTTCTTAACATACCTTGTGGAAAAATAAAACATTTTAGAAAAAATTGCACTTTTTTACCTTCAGCTGTTTAGAAGTTATAAGCAGGTTAATTAGGTGAAAATATAAGTGTATACTCGAGGAATAACTTCAAAAAATATTTTAATTGTCTACTAAAAGAAGTGGTACGCCTATGGATTACGAACGCTTTATTATTTTAATACTCTCTCATACATAAAAATAGACTATAGTGAGGATTGAACTCACGACCATCAGATTCAAAGACAAACGCGCTAGGCTCTACACCAACAAGACATGTTAAATATGAGTGTTAAAAATAGGGTAATTTATTTTTAACATTTTAATTATCATTTAAATATTAAGAAAAACGAGTTTGAGTATTAAATGTTCAATAAAAAGATTCAGATTAGTGTACATATTCTTTTAAAATACCGATTAGCTTTATAATAACAACCTTTCTAATGAAAATAGGCGCGTGCAAAAAGTAAATTTCCGCCTACATGCGGCAATAATGTCAAACTATGACAATTCATGGAAAACGTCAACTTTCTAGTTAGATTTGAATGTGCAAAAGCCTACTTTGGATAGTGATTGTAGAAAAAACTATTTTTACATAATTAAATTATGTAATAACGTGTCCGGAATTGCTTGCTTTAACTTTAATGTTGGATCAAGAACTAGGAATAGACCATAGTAATATGAAAATGGACAGTTAATAAATAATGGTTGTTACAATACAGTTGTTATTTAGAATGTTTAAAATAATAGAGAGTTTTAGCAAATGTACGTAAGATCTCCGCTAACGTTACGTTAAACTCAGATTGTGACATTGTGTAGATTACAAAATAAGAAAAAATAAACTCAACATAAAACCGCTTTATAAGTTTATTTTTCCTTATTTTGTAAAAAACACAAATTACCCGCCTATTAAAAAATACTGTCAATAAGAATTTTGAGAATTTTGTATGTTGTCATAAAAATAACGTCGAAAATATATATTGCACAGCATTTGGAGTTATTTTTCAGCAATTATTTCTCGTCATAAAATTGGTCCTAATCGAACCGGGAAATTTAAGTACGCAGAAAACTAGAGCAGGCGTGGAAGAATTGGATCTCAAGAAATCAGAGGTGTATACAGATTCTGATTTGGTATCGTTAACGTTTACAAAATGTTATATATTTTGCATTTCACGGTTTTTTATAATTTAGACTTATTTGACAGCTAACTCCTACATTGTCAAAATGCCAAAAAAAGTTAAAACGTGAAAGGGAAATTTTAGGAAACAAGTTAAATAATTTTTAGATATTTTTGAACGACAAAACTGAATCATCAAAAGATTACAAAACTTGAAATTAGATTGGGTCAAATAACAAAAGACTTTGATAAATTTGAAGATATTCAGTAGCGATTAGAGTTTTTAGATCCGTCCGAGAAAGATAAAAGATACGACTGGATGGGGCTTATTGACGAGATCATCCAGATCGCAGCCTACACACCGGATTTCAAATTTGCTCAGTATATCATGCCTTTCGGGGATTTGAACCCTACATACAGTAGGAGACATGGAATCAGGCAGGTCAACATAATACGCTACAGAAGTCTAAGGGATATGAACACGCAGGAATACGTGAAGACAAAGAGCGAGGTATCTGCTCTTCAGGACTTTTTGCAATAGTTGGAAACTATCAAAGGTGATGTAGTTAACGGAATCATTCTGATTTATTACGAACTCCGCAAGGCTTCTCCTGGAATGCTTCTGGAATCGCTAAGAAGATATCAAATGCTTGAAAGGTTCTCGAAAGTAGTAAAAGGCTTCGCCAACGGCTTCAATAAAGCGCAGATGAAGTGCGCCAACACCATCAAATCGTTCAACTTGCACCTTATGTCCAAGATGTTACTAAACAGAGGTGCGGAGCACTTTAACAGCGCCGTGGACCGCGCCCCTGCCTCCTTTGACATTGCCGCCCATTTGGCCCAAGAAGAAAGAACGGATTTGGCGGGCGAGGAAGTTGCCAAGGAGTATGCAGACAACGAGTTTAATTTGATAGACGTTGTGTGTCCTTATGTCAATCCGGCTCGAAGGACCAATTTTATGACGAGAAATAATTGCTGAGAAATAACTTCTAATGTTGTGCAGTATATATTTTCGACTTTATTTTTATGACAACTTACAAAATTCTCAAAATTCACATTGACAGTATTTTTTAGTAGGTGAGCAATTTGTGTCTTTTTTACAAAATAAGGAAAAGTAAACTCAACAAAAATATAGGAATCATGATTTTTTCGACCTCGAGTTTTCGACCTCGAATTTTCGACGGATTTTTACGTATTGAGGTCTCCTGAATCCGTTTTAACTATTTTCGCGATGATGTCTGAATGTATATGTGCGTGTATGTGGACGCGCGTGTATGTAGGCACGCGCGTGTGTGTGTGTGTCTGTATACTCGATAACTCATAAGCCGATACAGAAAAAAAGCACCAAATTCTATACTTAATACTTATACTTAAGCTTTAATCCATCCTGCAGTGAACTGATTAGGTTTTCGACATAGTCGGAACATTTGGGAGTACTTAATAGGAGATCGTTTTTCTATTTTATGGAATATATCTGTTATTTACGTTTGGAGAAGAAAAATCTTTAAATAAAAGTTGCTTGTAATATTATTCTCTATAATCTTTGTTTTATACAAAATTTTCCTAAAATGGCCCGTATTCAAGAAATTTGACAAAATGAAAAAAAAATTTAATTTATTAAGAAAATTGTTTAAATAAAAGTTGTTTGTTACGTCGTGATAATTATTGTCCAATACATTTCAAATAGAAGTTGATTGTAATATTAGTCTATAATTTTTGATCTATACAATTTTTTTCTAAAATGACCAATATTCGAGAAATTTTACAAAAAGCAAAAAAAGATTTTTAAGAAAATTGTTCAAATAAAAGTTGTTTGCGATATCATTCTCTATGGGCCATTCGCACTGCTAGTAGTTAGATTAGATTAGGAGTTGGACGTTATTTGTCCTTGTCCACCGCGACCTTTTCAGATCTATTGTGGGACTCCGTTTGTTTTAGAGTATGTCGTCTAGCCTGGTCTTTTTTATTAGACTTAGTAGCTTTGACAGTGGCTCCCGCATGTAGTTGCATGCAATTGGCTTTTCTTCGCCCAATGTTAGAAACCTCATTCCAGCCAAGCCTTCACATTGGCACAGGACGTCAAATGATGTTTCCTCTTCTTCTTCACAGAACCTGCACAAAGTTGCTTCTTCTGCTGGATTTATGACACTCATGTGCCTTTTGAGGCGACAGTGTCCAGTAAGAAGGCCTACTGTTATCCTAACGATTTGACGTTTTTGATCCAGTAGGTCTTTCGTAAACTTGGCCGATGGTTCCTTGATGAACTGTTTGGCCTGTCTCAGTCTTGGATAGTTGTTCCACCATTCCTGAGACTCTTTTTGCATCCATTGTTTAATGGATGCCTTGCACAATGCCTTAGCGACTCCACAAAAGGGTTCAGGGCCTGTCATGGCCTTATCTGAGCCTTCTCGGGCTAATTCGTCGGCCTTTTCGTTGCCCTGATATCCCTCATGGCCTAGAACCCAGGCTAAGGTCACCTTATTTTGACTACTTAGCTCTGTCAGGTCTTCTAGACAGTCTTTCACCAGTCGTGATTTGATTTCTGGTGAGAGAATTGCCTTTAGAGCTGCTTGGCTATCAGAGTATATGGCAATAGTTTTGCCTGATACTTGCTGATTTAATATTTCTCTTGCACAGTGTTGTATGGCTATTAGCTCAGCCTGGAACACTGTTGCATATTTTCCTAAGATTAGTGAAATCGTTGATTTCGACTTAGGTCCATAGATTCCAGCACCGGCTCCTTCCTTGGTTTTTGAACCGTCTGTGTACCAGACGAGTTCAGCCTGTACGGGAGGTCCCTGTTTCCAGGATTCTCGGGCTGGTATTTGAATTTGAAAATTTCTTTCAAATTTGTATGTGGTTATGGCTCTATCAGTAGGCATAGCTAGAATATTATCCCTTTGTACTTGCTGATATAGCCTTGTGTGGTCGGCGCTATGTAGTTGGCTTATTGGGTTTTGTCCCTGCATTAGCCTGTGAATAGCTGTGCTAGTAGTTAAGAAATAAACGAAGCTTAAAATGACATTGTCTATGGAGAAATGTCATTTTAAGCTTGACTTATTTCTTAACGACTAGTGGTGCAAATGGACCTAAAATTTCTATTTTTTATATGATTTCTTTAAAATGGACTGTAATGAAAAAATTCGAGAAAAGTGTAAAATTTTTCAGTATTTTCGTTGGTAAAGAATACATATGAAGAGTATAGGAAAAGAAGGCGATATGTCAATTTTTTTCGAAATTTAGTTAATCAAGCCATCTATGAGATAAAGCTGTCAGCGCGGAACCACGTAAGAAGGTGTTGGTCAGACAGACAGACATCACATAAGAACTGTTGAATTTTAGTACTGTAGACTCATTAAGATATTTTATTATAATATTACTGTTTCTTTTTATATTTCATACTAAATAAAACACCTTCCTTTTCTTTTTGAATGTGACTTTTTGGGAAAAATTGCTATTTTTTACTAAATAAATTGTTAAAAAAATTAACTAAGAGGTATTTGTAGCACAGTACCCCAATAATAATAGTAAATTTATCCTATTTTATTTTTATAAATCACTTTTTAGAGCACCTAAAATCTTTAAAAGCGTTATTCTCAAAACTAACTTTTTTGACAAATCGCCTTTGCCCGTACCCTTCATATAGAAAAAATTTCGAGTAAGATGTGTGTGGAAAATGTAAACATTTACAGGGGTGATACAATAGGTTGTACAAAATAACCGGAAAAAGTGTGGGATTTTTAAATTATTATAATTTGATTATTTTATATGAAATGGATGTTTTGTTAACACAGTATTATTTTTAAACCATTAAGTCATGTAGCAGGGTTGGAAAAAATCCGGTATTAACAAAAACTGATCTACAAAAAAATGTTTTTAAATTGCCCTTACATACCATTTGGTCGTAGGTGAGTGTCGCCACAGCTACCTTACAGATTTCCACTAGACGGGAATTTTGACGGAGTCCTGCCTGCCAGGCCTGACCTGCGCTTTCCACCAAAGTCACTATGCCGTCCGGTTGGACATGAAAACCCAGCTGGCCCATAATGTTGCGACTGAAATTTTTGCTTTAGGAGAATGAAATAATAAAAATTGATTGTATGTACAACATGCAAAAAAAAAACGTACTGAATAAGGTCAAACTTTAAAATTAGTTTATTTATATAAAAAAAAATAAAAAAAAAAAAATAAAAAAATAGAAAAAAAAACAAAAATAAAAAAATAGAAAAAAAAAACAAAAATAAAAAAATAGAAAAAAAAACAAAAATAAAAAAATAGAAAAAATAGAAAAAAAAAAATAGATAAATATAAAAAAATAGAAAAAAAAAATATAAAAAAATAGAAAAGAATAGAAAAAAATAGAAAAGAATAGAAAAAAATAGAAAAAATTGAAAAAAATAGAAAAAAATAAGAAAAATAAAAAAAAAATAGAAAAAAATTGAAAAAAATAAAAAATAGAAAAAAATAGAAACAATAGAAAAAAATAGAACAAAAATAGAAAAAAATAGAAAAAATAGAAAAAAACAGAAAAAATAGAAAAGAATAGAAAAAAATAGAAAAAATAGAAAAAAGAAAAAATGGAAAAATTAAAAATAAAATAGAAAAATATAGAAAAAAAAAATTAAAAAATAAAAAATAGAAAAAAATAAAAAATAGAAAAATATAGAAAAAAATAGAAAAAAAATAGAAAAGAATAGAAAAGAATAGAAAAAAATAGAAAAAAATAGAAAAAATAGAAAAAAATAGAAAAAAAAATAAAAAAATAAAAAAATTGAAAAAAAAAATATCCATAATAGTATAATCAGTCAAAGCATTTGGCACTTGGGGGGGTAAAGAGCTATAAGTCGAAAATGTTCAAAATTGAGTTAAATCTGCCACGATACTTCTAAACTCATTCTGTACCCCTGGGAAAAGGGATATAAATAATGAGAAAAAGGATATAAATAATGGGAAAAGGGATATAAGTAATTTAAACCTTACAAAATTTGGGTATTTAAAAAAACCGTTATTGAAACGCGAATATTAAAACTTTAAACTCAATTTATCATAATTTTTGATTTAGGACATGTACACCTTTACCCCCAAGTGCCATTTATTTTTAAGTGTTCAATCATTGAAATTTTTTAAAATTCAAATCTTCTAACAGAAAAAAATAGAAAAGAATAGAAAAAATTGAAAAAAATTGAAAAAAATAGAAAAATAAAAATAAAATAGAAAAATATAGAAAAAAATAATAAAAAATAGAAAAAAAATAGAAAAAAAAAATAGAAAAGAATAGAAAAAAAATAGAAAAAAATAGAGAAAAACTAAAAATATAGAAAAAATAGAAAAAAATAGAAAAAAAATAGAAAAGAATAGAAAAAATAGAAAAAAATAGAAAAAAATTAAAATAAATTAAAAAAATAAAAATAAATAAAAAAATTGAAAAAAAAAAAAATAAAAAAATATCCATAAAAGTATAATCAGTCAAAGCATTTGGCACTTGGGGGGTAAAGAGCTATAAGTCGAAAATGTTCAAAATTGAGTTAAATCTGCCACGATACTTCTAAACTCATTCTGTACCCCTGGGAAAAGGGATATAAATAATGAGAAAAAGGATATGAATAATGGGAAAAGGGATATAAGTAATTTAAACCTTACAAAATTTGGATATTTAAAAAAACCGTTATTGAAACGCGAATATTAAAACTTTAAACTCAATTTATCATAATTTTTGATTTAGGACATGTACACCTTTACCCCCAAGTGCCATTTATTTTTAAGTGTTCAATCATTGAAATTTTTTAAAATTCAAATCTTCTAACAGAAAAAAATAGAAAAAATAGAAAAGAATAGAAAAAATTGAAAAAAATAGAAAAAAGAAAAAATAGAAAAATATAGAAAAAAATAAAAAATAGAAAAAAATAGAAAAAAACAAAAAAATAGAAAAAAATAGAAAAAAATAGAAAAAAATAGAAAAAATAGGGAAAAACAAAAAAA